CAGTGGATCTTTTACGTCTGCCTTATACAGGGTTATATAGTGAAGACAGACGGGGCCTACGGTTTTAAGTCCTTGYCCGAGAAGACTCGAAGGCCTAAGCATTTGCAGATATAATAGGACGTTTGCATGATGGCGTCATTTGACCTCTACTACCAAGATGATTTGCGAATTTTCTTTCTTATTTAAATTCGTATTTCCTCATGAGAATAGTAAGACAATTGGTGCTAATTAACTGCAGAACAAAAACAAGTGTGCAAGGGAGTCTGGTAGTAGAGGTCAATGACGCCATCGTGCAAATGTCCTATTACAAAGGCAGCACCTTCTCTTCAGTTATGTGAGTGTTGGTCCGGCCGACCTTCCGCACAACAGACCGACTCTCTTACCAACTGAGCTACCCGGTTGGCCGTTGGCTCGTTAATTTGAAATATAAAAAGTGAATATACAGCAATTAACTCTCTACCTGTAGTTAGTATATTGTTTCAAATGGAATACACTAAAAATAGAATCAATAATTATTATTATTCCTACTTTAGACAATGTCACTATGACCCACAATGCACTTCGGTCTTGGAATGCACTAATATTCAGTTTGCAGTATTCAGTATTCAACCTTTTTGAAATAGCTGCATCTCTATATCTACAAATGCCTATCTTTGTCGGGTTGGACTGATGAATAATTTGGTCTTTCCTAATTGCGCTCTGATTGATCAATAGGTAGTCAGGACTCTTGTTTTTGAAAGCCCTATTCAAGGAAATCGCGAAAGGCCACACACGATTGTTTAAAGGACGCTGTTCAAACAGTTTAATGATTGATAAGGGCCGTTGTCAAAGTATCATTATTGAGATACTTGATTGATATCATCATTATATCGCTGTATGTACAGCCTTTCTCTGTCCCTCAACACGGCCATGACACGGCAAGGGATACGCCAGACCAATAACATTGCGCGAGAATTTACTCTCCATCCAATCAAATACCCGGAACACGGCATAAACACAGCGCGGACACGGTCACGCCAAGGTCACGGCACTGTCAGACCAATCATATTGCGTGAACAAAAAAAATCAGCCAATTAAAATTCTAGGAAATATCACGGTCACGGCACAGCAAGCTTACGGCATTGAGCTTTTCACAGTCATACGAAAACTGCTCTACTACTGGACCTTATTGGCACAGAGAAAAGAATCGTATTCTCAAGAGAATGACACGTGGTCTGAAATGGGAAAACATTACGCCCAAGGTAAAGAGGTCATTTCGCCCTTCCTTTTCAGGCAAGGCGCATGATATTWAAAAAAAAAAAAAAAAAAAAAAATGATTCGGTTCCTTCTGTTTTCGCGATCTTCTCATGACGTCAGTTGATACTGAAACAATCAGATAAAATTGTATGACGAGAAAACATGAACTTGACCGGGTGATGAACATCATCTCATAGCATAAAACTATAAGACTGTCATTCTCTAGTGTTCCTTTAATTCCATTCAATAAACGTTTTATTTCTATCCTTTTTATCTGTCCAGTCAGAACGCGGCAGGCATTTCGGTGTGATAAAGTGCCCTCGAGCTCAGAGCAGATAGAGAAATAATTTGACCCAAAAATTAATAGTCTATATCGTATCAGTTCTCGATCACTGCCATAACATCCTATACTACTTAATAAAGTAGGTTAAGATATGGCAGCAAATGCCGACTTGCATGTAACCATTCTCATGCAAAACACTTCAAGGCCGTAACCCGCTATCGCTTAGCTAGGAAGTGGTTCATTTTAGAAATCCGGAACTCGGAAAGAGTTGCGGTCGGAGAAGCTCTGGCGGGTCGGCAGTGGTTCAAAAAAAGCCCCAAAGTTTAAAAACATTACTCAATTCAGTGGAAGTATGTACAAATGCTCGCGACTGCGGAGTTTAGACTTTTTTCAAGCTCCCTTTTACAAGTACCCTGGGTCTCAGAGGCTCTGGCACCCAGGGTATTTTACAAGAAATTGGCGTAAAAAATATCTGTGTTTTGTCCTAAGTATTGCCATGAATTAGGGAAAATTATAAATAGAAATAAATATGAATAATATATGAATGTTAGAACTACATCAAATATAGCGATATGAGCCACTGAAACTTAATTCATCGCATGCAAGTCATTATCCAGTGCTGATGTGTTGGTTTAAGCTCATTTTAAACGAGATGAAAAGGAAAAAAAAAAAAAAACAATTTTAACTGGAATGACCTTGACTTCCGCCGGAATCATTAGAATGGTATTTGAACTTTATAGAAAGGCGAAACTAAGATAAGACAAAGATTAGGTATATATTTAGATACTAAATCACTCTTTATCTCTGACTCATTGATATGAGTTGAAGCGATAAAAACCAGAGTTAACTCTGTAAAAACGAACCGCCATCTGAATATAAAGGGTAAGCAGTTCGGGTGCGCCTTGTTTTAGCGGCTGCCGGCCACCTTATTAGGATTTTTAATTGGCCACATGTAGGAAACGCCACGCACACACTTCTGTAGCTAGTTATAAACTCGCTTTTCGATGTTATGCTGCATGCTTCTTCAGTTTGCAAGAATAACCGAGAATACCACATATTTTATATAAGTAAACCTTATCAAAGAGTATTTGTTATTTATACACTGGTGAAACTTTCTTCGATGTGAGACAGTGTTATGGATACTTTTTTTCTCCTTTTGGCACTGAGTGTGCACAACAAATCCGTGAAAAAGTATTACGGGAAAATACTAAAAGAAAATCCTACTAAAAGAAAATGAGCGTTAAAAGAAAATACTAAAAGAAACTACTACCTTATGGTGCAAAATCAATTTTGCAAATAGCTCCGCATATGTTACTCTAAGCACAAATTTAGTGATGAACATGACTAAGTTGTGCGTTTACGAAAAAATTTGGCAAAGAATTGATTTGTTTACATAATTTTATCATCTTTGCTTACCTTTAAAGACTCCAGTAGTTGACTTCGCGGTTTAAGCTTGCAAATCCCTTTTCCAAATCGTACTGTACTTGAAAATGAAACGTGCTTGACTCTCTTGTAGATGTAGTCTGTCCTGGCTCCGAAAGTGATGGCGGATTTAGCTAACATGATTCGGCTATTTATCGGTCTGTTTATGGAGATGAATTTTACTTTATCATTCATTATCAAAAGGTCAATATATAATCGTTGAATATAAGACTGGATCTATTTGATAACCTCATTAAAGCTGGTGACATCAGAAACCACACAAGTTCCAATAGTTTGTTTACCTAAAGGATACTAAAATCTTCCTTTTACGTGTATTTTTAGAATCCTCTTAGTTTAAAGGGGGTCAGACATTGGTAAATGGTCCTCAAGGAGTTCATATGACGTCTTTGTTATCGCATTTCTGTCTTTTATCACCTCGTTATGGGTATGAGAACCATTTGTTATTAATCTGGGTAAAATTTAAATCAATTTTTTAAAAAACCTTCTAATATCGTATGTCTAGTATCGATACCTAAAATAACCT